TGGGCATTGGCAGTTTCACTATAGCTCTGGTGAATTTCAATGGTGAAGTCCTCTGGAAATCTTCAATAATTGTTGTTGATTGCAGATGTGTCTAGTAGTTCCCATTGATTTAGCTTGGAAAGCGGGGAGAATGGCGCTAGGCTTACCGCACCGTGACGTCACTGCTGGATTAGGAGGGAGGGGCTACTATATTTGGGCAAAAATGGCCGCTCCCAGACTCAGTGATCGCAGCGACAATTATTATTTATTTACTTATTAAAGCTAAATTAGTTTTAGGTATAAATGGATGTGCTTTGGTGGTGCAGTGGTTAGCGCACACGACCCGCTAGGAGGCCACTAGTGCCGTAAAACCCCCCAAAAAGTTTTAGGTATAAAAAATGATCCATTGTTTATTCCTTGCTGACCGAACTTCTCCTTTAAGATCCTTAAGATTCTTTAACAAACATATCAAGCTTCTTTCTTAGGGATTAGAGCTTAGAAGTAGCTCATCTCTCTGTGTGTATTACCTGTGTTCAGCTGCTGGAATGGAGAAGCCAGCCATTGGACAGCCATAATAGCGTTGAGCCATCAATACTCCAGCTATTGTGTCTGTACTGCAGAAGTTCACCAGGTGAGCGGCTCCACCCAATGCGGCCGACTTCAAATTAGAAAAATATAAACAACTGGAATCAGTTTCAATGACAGTGCAGAAAAAAAAAGAAAATGATGTTTGTTTAAAATATTATTTTTCATTGGATTATGGTCCAAACATTGAGCTTCCCACTAGGATCTTCAAAGTTTTCCAATATGATGCTCTAAATGACAGGTACAATCTTTTATCACATATCTGGGTGATATGGCCTTCAAATCAAATCACCATATTTTGTGCTGTAATATTGTGATAAAACTAAATTTGCCAACAGCAAAAATGAAAAATGGAAAAAAATCACAATTGAGTTTTTTATCATCACTAATTCTGATTGTTTAGACAATATATTTAATTGTTATCCTGGCTAGAAATGATTCACGACAATCATAAATGATATAATAAATAGCAGGCTGCTCAGTGGGGCAGTGGGTAGCACTGCTGCCTCGCAGCAAGAAGGTTCCAGGTTTGATTCGTGGCCCCGGGGTCTTTCTGCATGCAGTCTGCATGTTCTCCCTGAGCATGCGTGGGTTCTCTCCGGGTACTCCGGCTTCCTCCCCCCAGTCCAACATTATTGGCTTCTCTAATTCTCCTTAGGTCTGAGTGTGAATGGTTGTTTGTCCTGTTTGTCTCTGTGTTGCCCTGTGATGGACTGGAGACCTGTCCAGGGAGGACCCTGCCTCTCTGTCCAGGGTGGACCCTGCCTCTCTGTCCAGG